GAATAAATTCAGGGATGTAAATGGCCATTTGAAAAAAAAATCTGAAAACGTTACATAATCTGAACACCAGAAGTGGGAGCCTCCACGGCTACGGGTGGTGGTGGGTGTCCAGGAGGCATGCTTTACACAAACAACATTAAGGTGATAACCGACCTCTTTCTCTTGTTCACTTTTGTTGTTCTGAGATCTTTCAAACACCGCAAATGAACGGCCGCAACAACAGTCATAGTAAGGTAAACTTTTAACTATCATGTACACAGTATGTACATCGGCCAGCCCGCCATCACTTCCATATTTTATCTCTGAAGGCTTAACTCATCTTTATACGATCCACTTCGATATTTTATCCCAAAAGGCTTAACTCATTTTTGTTTATACAATCTTGACAGCATTACCCCCAATGACTTAATAACTAAAAGATCTACATCTAGACCTACATACGGGGAATATTATTCGATGACAATATTTTCAAAGACATTCTAAACATGTTGCTATTTGTGCTTCAACACTTGAACGCAAATCCGCAAATACACTAGAAAGGGGGGAATTCTACATCAGTTTTGATATTCAATGCACTCAATATCAATATGAAACAAGCTGACAAGCATTAGTGCTATTTTTTAATATTGGCACAACAAATTTCTCAACAAGATTTTCGATTTTTTCCCCATTGAAAAATTGGACCTTTAACATCATTCAACTTATAGCTTTTTTCCAAGGAAATTCTTGTCGTGTTTATAGAAGTCTAGTCAGCGTCGCACATCGTGAAATAAAATAACAATTTTTTTTAGCTTTGATGGAGTAAATTAATAGTTTCCTTTTGCAAATGTAATGACCTTTCCACAGTGGACTGAAATATGAGGAATTGCTATTCCCAAAGAAAAATGTAACACTAATATGACTGGTACTTGAGACACACTTAACATTTTGATTAAAATCTTCTGAGATCATTTGTGGTAAAGTATGGGTTATTTTACGATCCTTTCAAAACAACAAGGTTGACATCAGTTCAATTCTGTCCCTTGAGATAAAATATTCTTTGCCAAAATATGAGTATGAATGTCTGTGACCAGTAGAGTGCACAGACACATGACCTTGAAAAAAGAATAAATGGATCCCTGAAGTAGCCCAAGGGTATGGATAAATAATTTGAGATCTCAATTTCCAACACAAATCCACTCTTAACTTCAACAAAACTGCCCACAATCAAACAGCACTCAGTTAAGGGCAGTACTTCTTACATCATCAATAAACCAATATACATATACAACATACAATACTGAGCGTAACAACAACAGTGCTAACAATCTGATTCATGACATGACATGCATTATTGAAACACTTGATGATGGGTAAAAGAAATGATGGCACATTATCTTTATCAGACCAGCCAACCACTCCACGACCAAAATTATCATATTTATGACATCAGTGTCGATAATTGAACAAACTTGTTGGCAGTAGATGGCACAGACAAAATCCAAACAGATATACGAAAGCTATTGTTATTCCAGTCAAACCGACTGAAATAAACCATTATTCTAGCCAAATTAATAAAAGAATCTACTTCCAAACAGATTTATGAAAGCTATTGTTATACCAGTCAAACTGACTGAAATAAACCATTATTCTAGCCAAATTAATAAAAGAATCTACTTCCAAACAGATTTATGAAAGCTATTGTTATACCAGTCAAACTGACTGAAATAAACAATTATTCTAGCCAAATAAATAAAAGAATCTACTTCAATAAAATGTGTATATGTGAGGCACCATGGTGAAATCAGGTGCTCGTCAAAATAATGAAATAAAAATAAAAAATCCGCATTTTTTCGTCCTTCTGAACAATTAAAAAACATTAGGGGGGAAAGGGGGGCCTCAACACCTTTTATGTTCATTAAAAAAAATAATTTTGTGTGAATTTTAACTTTAAAAAAAAACATTGATCAAAGGAACAAAAAAAGTAATTTTGCAGTTTCCAAAAAACACTCAAGCTTTGTAAGTCACCAAACTTTGATGGCCATTTACTTGCTAAATTTACCTCTGGCACCATGTGACCCTCATCCCCTCTAATTGCGAATACCCCGATTTCTGTTCAAGATAATTGGGTATTTTTTTAACCAAAAAAGGGCAAATGAACAGGCTTTCAGATTCTACCATTAACTCCAACTGCCCACAAAATGACGAGCACCTGATTCAACCGTGTCGTGACACTTATAAACTTTTAACCTCCTGCTCTATGTTTCTAGAAGTGTATCAGCAACAGGAAGTGACACAACTTACATTTCATATTCAGGAATCAAAACAATCTCTGGGCAGGTTATTTCCCCTCCTGTCCTGAGGAGTTGGTGTTGAAATCTTAACCCTATCCGAACGTCGTGTTTTACTATCGTATCCATACGACGAGGGGAACTCTGTGCCATCACTTTTCAAAGAGGAAATCTACTTGTTAATCCGATCCATACACTTTGCATAGCAGTATGTCAAAATGATTTTTTGAGAAATACTGAAAGTTTCAAAGAGATCTTCATACTAGAAGTATTCTAAAATGTGAAGAATACAACCCCAGGACATATGGATAGAGTTAAAACTATATAACATTTACGGACTTTCCAAAGCACCCTTATTAAGAAACCTCCAAGCAGGGACACAATAGCGAGTCCACGTCTCCTGTATTTCAATGAGTCATCAAAATGTATAGTACCGGTATAACCCACCAATGCATGAACCAATTTGACAAATTGCATACGAAAATATCAACACAGGCCTGAAAACCATTTTGTTTTCTTACCTCATTCTTTCTTCTTTTTTGTTAGACCTACTACAAACAATCAACTTAAACGTTGATCCTTTACTCAGATTCAGACCAAAGTCAGAAGACACTTACATTTAACATCTTATTGATTCTTAGAGTATCAACGAGGCTATCCGATTCACTGGATATGTAAAGGTAGTTATTTACATGATTCCCCCCCCCCCCCCAAAAAAAAAGATGAACCGAGGTATTAGTATTGCAAGATCTAAAATTTATTACAACATAAAACTATGTGATATATCATATGAAAGCAATTCCTTACAAGAGGACATGATGTAGAAACTAAATTCCTTGCTCTAAATAAAATACAGAAAAATAATAAACCTATGCTCTCTTATAACACTACAAAGTCTTAATAAAATCTGCCCTATCTTTGAAACATACAAAAATGCCAATATGTGGCACGACGTGGTGGAATCAGGCTCTCGTAAATTTTTAGGCATATGGTGTTGATGGTACCATCTTAAGGCCTGTCCATTTTCCTTGTTTTGGGTGAAAATAATATCCATCTATGTTGAATAGATGTCAAGATATGTGTCATAGAAAGAGGTGAGGATCATCTGGTTTCAGAGGTAAAATTAGCGAGAAAATGGTCGTCAAAGTTGAGCTATTTCCGTAGCTTGAGATTCCGTGGAAACTAAAAATGTACATTTCTTCTGTCTTTCATCAACATTTTTCAGCAAAATCCACAAAGAAATGTGCTCTTTAACGGGCATGAAAGGTGTCGAACCAAAAACAAAAATTCTATTAAAATTCCCCAACCTGCGGTAAAATGCCAATTTCTTGACTTTCATTATTTTGACGAGCGCCTGATTTCACCATGCAGCCTCACATATAATAAATCTACAAATGACCAATCTTCATTAAATAGGTACCAGAAACTAAATTTTCAAAGTAGCTGTATGCCAAATCTATCTGTTCCAATTGAAAGCCCTATATCCACTGAGCATTTTGGTACCATTCTTTAACCTCTCAGTCAATTTTTAAGAAAATGGTAGTTGTTTAAAATTTGATCAAATTTGTTAAAGTCAGTCACTGGCTGCAACCCCATGTTTGACAGACAATAAAAGAGTACCAAGTGCACTAAACATCTCCACATTAACAGAGTACAATCCCTATAACATATATATGGAGTGTAATTTTTTTCAAGACTGTGAAATCATTACAACTCCGTATTTTATCACCTCAAACACGATGATCTGTCGTTATTTCGACAAAAACACAGAGCGTTGACCCGGCCGCCACCGCACCGCCCCCCCCGGCAAGCGAGTCGGCTCTATACTAGACTATACTGTAGTGTACCCCGCGTGCGGGGTCACATGCTTTCCAAGTCTCGCGGAAGGATTGATGTAAAATAATTCCAAGCTGATCACTTTATTCTAATAGAAAATAAATTTATCTTTTAATTGATACCCTTTTTAAGCCGGTATTTTACACACTTTGTGTAAAAAATGATCTTTAAACATTTTGACAGCATTTTTAAAAGCTTTCTATTTAAACGCCAAGGGCCAAATATATACCACGGGAAAGCCCATTTAAAGCTCTACAGTTCTTCGCCAATGAAAAGACGGTATTTAATCATCGCTCGTTCCGCGAAGCATTTGAATGCATGCGTGTCAATTTTTGAACCGGCCAACCACGCATTCCGACCGCAAGGGGCTTCGCTTTCGTCGGCGATTCTCCAGCTCCTAATAATCGAACATATAAACAACTTACACCATTGTAACGAGGAAAAGCTGAACTTTTACGAGGTGTACGATATTTGGTGTTTTATAGCGAAAGAGCAAAGAAACAGCGATCGGAATTACAGCGATTTCACCGATACCACGCGGTCGGAAGGCGGCAAGTGCCCACAAGGCCGTGTTTACGCTACCTACATTAAAAGTAACAACAGATGCATAACACTTGTAGACACTTCACATTTTGATTAATCGCAGGCAGTATTCTATTATACCTCCGTATAGAGATACCAGTGCACAACTTTAACTCTACAAGTGCTGAGAGACCATCAGTCTTAATACAGTATAGTATAGGGATGTCAAGAAGTCAATTTCTTAAATATATAAGTTTGGCATCATTTGAAAACTATAACAAAGGTGTCCGGATTTTCACATAATTTACCTACAAAAATTGCTGGGTAGTAAATAGCACACAACACTGAGATACCAGTTTTTGTTTTTCTTCATGGCAAACAAAGCTATCCTCTTATCCTCTATTTACACCAATATTTAGATTCATAAACCAAAAGACTAAAAGGGAAGAGATATTCACACCACCTTGCACCTTGCAACTGATAAATTTGTATATGTGACCAGTAGAAGTCAGAAATATGAGACCAGTAGAAGACATAAATATGTGATCAGAAGAAATCATAAATATGTAATCAGTAGAAGACATAAATATGTGATCAGTAAAAATCACAAATATGTAATCAAAAGAAGACATAAATATGTGATCAGAAGAAGACATAAATATGTGATCAGAAGAAGACATAAATATGCACACTATAATCTGTCCATCATGTGTAGGTAGTTAGAAATCTCCACGAGGTTTCCATCTGGATCCCGAATGTACACAGATCTGATGCTGCCAACTGCTCCTGTCCTCTCCACGGGCCCTTCAATGATGTCAACAGCACAAGCCTTCAAAAGACAGAAAACAAACAAAGGTTGACTTAAATAAACAAGGAACCGAGCAAGACAATACTACCTTAATGCCACCATTATTCAATGAAGAAAATATGCGCAGAACAATCTAATTTAAACCAAATATAGTAATTGGCTTATGTCTCCACCAGTTGTCAGATTCCAGGATTATTTGAATTACTAAAAGATTGGTAAGATTTTCTTTAGTTTCAGTAAGAGTTTTACAACACTTGGCCATATAAGTATCGAAGATTAGAGGTGTTAGAGAGTAACAAACACAAAAAAGAAGAAGGGGAGATAAAGACGATAGATGTTTGATAGGAAAGAAGAAGCAAACCACACCAGAGCACTCACCAAACCATGATTCTTACGGCAATTTCCAGACCTATTTAGTTTCTAAAAATTAGCTGAAAGAAGGAAATTGCATTCTGTTTGTTGTCTTACAATCTTTATTATCTCCATTAAATAAGTGAGCAAAGTTTTGTGAGTTTACGTCGGTTAGTTTTGTCACAATGATTGCTTGGAAAACACATTGAAATATCAGGCACTCAGGGGGCATCAAAGACAATATTATGGCAGATAGCCAGTGAGTTAAAAAGCAACAATTCATTTTTAGCTTGGTTCAATAAAGAAGCGATTTACCTTTACTAGTAGTCTACATTACTCTAAACTGCTACTAAGTATTCCTATTCTGGTGTATTTCACTATTGAGTGTCTCTCCCATTGCATTCTACCTTCACCACTAAATAATGTGTTTAGTAACTTTTTGTTTTAGTAGAGGTTTTATGGCGCTCGCAACTGCATAAGGTCATATGAGCGCCAGAAGATTACAGGTGTTACAAGAGAGTAACAAACATAAAAAAGAAGAAGGGGAGATAAGGACGATAGATGTTTCATAGGAAAGAAGAAGCAAACCAAATCAGAGCACCTGCCAACCACCCACTTTAGTCACTTTACCCTCAAGTATCAATCTCCCAAAAAGTAACAGCACTCAGTTCTCAGCAAAAGAGTCTCACCAAATGAAGAGAATTGTTGTATTACACAAAAGAAAAAAAATAGCGCTTTCTGAAAATTTTACTACTATTTTCAGTTGACTTTGCTTTATAACTCATTGACCCTGGAATTGATCTCCACAGTTTGACAAAGTTAATACTTTAAAAATATTGTATACAATGACTTGACAAACACTACAACTTTCCCAACATGTGCCTCGACTCAAGACAAAGAACAAACATAAACACAAAGACAAACAAGAGCAGCTTCCTTTAGAGAAAACTTTGTACAAAATTTAATTCTCATTCGTTGCTATTTCAATAATGAGAAAATCAAGTTTACTTATGTGCACCATCCCGGCTGCGGGGAGCGGTCACTTGCCATTTTGGGAAGAAGTTTTGGCAGCTGGGAGCCGCTGCTTGGGTTTGATGAATTAAAATGAACTACGAAACAATTAGTTTTAGTTTTAGTAAAAGTTTTACGATGCTCGCAACTGCATAAGGTCATATGAGCGCCAGAAGATTAGAGCGGTCACAAGAGAGTAACAAACATAAAAAAGAAAAAGGGGGGATAAGGACGATAGACGTTTGATAGGAAAGAAGAAGCAAACCACACCAGAGCACCCGCCAACCACCCACAATTAGTTCAGGATTGGTATAACCACCATATCAGCTGAAGTAGAGCCCACTGTCATAACACATTCTGGTTGCATTCTTTAGCTGACTGACCATTCAGCACCCAGGAAGACATGACTTTTTCTACAAGAACCCCCCCCTCCCCCCCCCCCCCAGTTAACTCAAAAACTGTAACAAAAAATGGAAGGGCTCTATCTTGTTTCATTGTCTCATAAGAAAATGGCACACATGCTACTGAATTTTCCACGCCTCTATGCTGTTGTAAAAATAATAATGATAATAATACCCAAAATAATAATAGACACACCTTCAAGTGTTCTTCAACTTGATCCAGAGAAGTCTTTGTGATGAAACACAGATCTGCAGAGCCTGAAGTGGGTTTGGCAGCCTTTGGCTCAAATTCTTTTCCACTCTCATGGAGGTTGATCTTTTGCTCACCATAGTTAAGTGCCTTGCGTCCGCCCTGATATAAAAGGAAACAATTAAGCCTGAGACCGTGAATGTTTTAAGCATAATATAAGAATGCGTAGCAAGGCTATAAAATACAATGAACTAAGCCTAGATATTTAAGGGGAAGACCATGTGGAACATGAAAAAGAGTCACGGAAATGGATGTACAGAAAAGTGGGAAGACCTGGAGTGATTTCAAGCGACTAGCCTAGGATAGGGAAAGGCGGAAAGTGTTTTTTCGTGGCCTATATCCTGATCCAGGGTGAGAAAGACAATGACAACGATGAAGACTAGATATAATGTTTTCATCACACATGAAAAAGAATGCTCGTTTAAGAGCTGAAATGGCTAATCATGAACTAGAAATACATCAAACACTGCAATACTAAAAACCATGATCAAAGGGTACAGAAATTGTTCAAATTGTTAGTCATGATAACATATTGATTCAAACTGAACATAAAATGCGGTACTCGCTAATTAACCGCAAACAAGTTTGGTGACTATTTCAATTAGCCAAAATAAAGAAATAAATAAAAAGTACAAAATAATCAAAGCGAAGTTATCTACTCATTATGCGACGAACATTATACCTTGAAAGTAGTTGCTTCCATTCCAAGAACTCGAGTATAGAAATCCACTGTTGCTTCTAGATCTTTCACAGTGAGAACCAAATGATCAAGATGTGTTATCTGAAATGGTCGCACAGATGAAGCTGACCGAAGTCCTTGAACAGTGGGGCTTGAAACATTGGCAGCTGCACAATGCACTTTCTGGAGAAATACAAAAGTTATGAGGTGTTAAAAATATATCGTCTCTAACTCTCTCTCTAAGCCACAGAAATATCAACAATAATTATACTTTTTAAGCTACAACGACAATCAGTCACATGAGGACACTTACAACACTTTTCATGTTGCCAAACTCAAACTGCCTGAACTTGAAATTTTTTTTTTTGCCTTCCAACCACAGATCTCAGAGCATTATTGCCATTGCTGTTCAACACTCATTAATTAATAGAATTTATGATGGTTATTTGTTTTGGCCGGCTCTATTTCTCCGAATGTTCTGGAAAATAAAATTGAACTTTATTTCTCCGAACGGTTTCCGTTCTCGAGATTTGTTGATAACAAGCGAATGGAGTGGCCTGTGTGTGTGTGTGTGTAAGGTGTGAACGGGGCGGGCGGGCGTTGAGGGATTTTAGTTTTTGCTGGGTGACTAAAGTAAATGCAAAATAGAGGTTACTGCCAAAGTCGAGCAGTCTTGTTTTCTCGCAGTACCTTTTGAAGGTATTTTTAACATAAAGTATAGTCCGGGAACGTTGCCCCAACCACAACTGAAGTATCTGAATATTCAGACATTTAAAAATCTCTAGCTCTAAAAATTGAATTCGATGCAAAAAATGCTTACTCTCCCAGTCCTCGCAAAATGGCAGAATAAAATCATGAAAGGATGCCGCCATAATCTCGCAAATAACCCCCAAAAAACAACAAAAAACAGTTTGTAGAAATAGAGTTCAACTTTATTTTTCCGAGCGTTCGGAGAAATAGTCACTTCGTATTGTTTGAGCACCTCTACTAATCCTGCCAGAGCGTGAAATGACAAAGAGCCACCTGCAAACCACTCCTGCATGATTCGGGAAACAAAAGCTAAATTACAAAAACCAAGTGGCTAGCCGTGTACTTAAGTACCACTAGCCTAGCTGTCTAAGTACGGATAGCCTGCCAGGCTAGCCGTACTTAGGTTAGATTAGGCCCTATTGACCCAAACCTGTAGAGTACACTGATCTCATTAGATCTAACAATTATTCAGGTTTAAAATACATGCAAGTCAGTAAGGCACCTTTTGATTGATTTCACTGAACGTAAGATCTATAGAACGAAGACACTTCCTTTTTTCCGGACCCGAGTCCGAATAACATTTTTTCATATTCGGACCCGAGTCCGAATATGAATTTTTTTAGGCCGGCACTATTTCTTCGAACGTTCGGGAAAATAAAGCTGGGCACTATTTCTCCGAACACTCTGAAATCAGATCCTTTCACGCAAATTTCGGATAAATATATATATAGATCTATAATTATATTATAGGCCTACCAAAGATTATTCGTATACAATGTGGTTCAATTGGTCCAAAAAATGTCAGCAGTAAATATTTATATAAAGAAATCCAAAGAGATTAATTTTTGCTACAGATATGACGTGTTGCCTATGAAGGATGCAGCTCTTAAATTTAATGTGTTGTGTTCACTCGAGTGCTGTCTAGATCTATGGAGGGTTATTGATAACGACAAGTAGAACTAGCATCTGTGTTTGTCGCGGCCGCGACCAATCAATCATGGTTCCAATTTTTGGGCATTTTATTTTGGTCCCCGAATTGGGGAATAAAGTGAAAAAAAAAAGAAAGAAGAAACCGAACCTCTTTACTTTTGAAAGAAAGTTCACTTAGCTTCACTTCGTCTCTTTCTCACTTGTTGTCACCACGTTGATTTGTTGAATTTACGTTACAGTTGCGTATGATTTATATTGCTGTTCCTCTTGCATTTTTCCCTCTTTGTGGTGTTTTATTTTGTTGGAGTGGGAGGTTGGCCGGTGCTCTGGTGTGGTTTGCTTCTTCTTTCCTATGAAACATCTATCGTCCTGATCTCCCTTCTTCTTTTTTATGTTTGTTACTCTCTTTTAACACCTCTAATCTTCTGGCGCTCATATGACCTTATGCAGTTGCGAGCGCCGTAAAACCTCTACTGAAACTAAAAATTTTGTTGGTGTGCAATTTTTTTTCCTTGTTGTTGTTCTGATGTGTTGTTTTTCTATTATTTTTTTTTAGTCTGGGTAAAGAGGGAGGAGGAATGCTGTATAGTGTAACGTCATTTAATTTCATGTTCCTACCTTCATTAGATTCTAAATATATATATATACAGTCGAACCTGCTCTGACGGCCACCTGTACAAATGGACACTTTCCATTTCCCCCCTTGCGTTTTTTTCTATATTATTTAACTGTGTAAAACGGGCACCTGTCCAACACGGCCGCCATATTTCAACACACAACCCCTATCACACAAAGCAATAACACCTGTCTTAGATGGCCACCTTGCCTTAGTGACTCCATTACGCTTTGTCCTAAATCAAGCATTGGCCCCTGGCGTTGTGGGCGAGCCGTCATAATCTAAAAACCTGTCATTGTTAGGTAGTCCCTCCAACTGATCATGTTGCGTAGGCCCCTCCCACTGTTGACCAATAGCTAACAAAATTAATTTTCAGCTGTTGGGGAGAGAAGCGTGTGATCCCTCATAACCCATAAGCCCCACCCAGAACCCATACACAAATCGCAAGTGAGATGAGTGGTCACTGTTTACCCAGTCTGTAACAAAGTAACAGTGGACGTCAGCATGAACTTGTGACAGAACTGTCGCTTGTTGTCCGAGTGGTAGTACGGGTGTTTCACTTGGTCCTCCTTGTCTGACATATTTCGTTTTATTGTCACCCGTACACAAAAGCAGCAACAAAAGAAAAAGAAAACCCAGCGAAACCAACAACAACAATGCAACTACCTTCGGTTGGGACCTCAGAAAGGAAGGGTTTGTTTTCTCAGAAAGGAATGTTTTGTTTTCTTCATCTTGATCAGTCCTGCCTAAGATGGCCACTTTTCTCCTTGACAATGGGTCGCCGTCTTACACAGGTTCGACTGTATATATATACACACACACACATGTATAAATATAGATTTAAATGTGTTATGTTAGAGCGTTCCACAAAAACCGATTACATGTACTGACACTGTCAGGCCCCTTGTGTGTGATTTCATAATTTAATGTAGCAATGACCACAAAAAACCTTTTATTGCTAGAAAGTGTTTGCAAATAGTGCATTTTGTAGCCAGGGTTCCTGCCATGAACTTCCCATCAAATTCAAGGAGTTTTCAAGGAGGTTTCAAGGAGAAATTTTTAAAATATCAAGGAGATTTGATAAAGAAATTCATGACGAAAGCCTACTTTAAAAAAACCACTTGTCCGAAAGGAATCATATCATATTCATATTCATAACGATTTCCCTAGAAAAACTGTTCCCAGGGTGACTGCCAACCCGGCTTCTGAATTTTCAAGGGGGGGGGGAAGAGTCTCATCCATTCTCCAGGGGCATGTTACATAACAACGACAGTGCATGCTCCCTTTATATATTTTATATAATATATACACACACACACACGCATGTAGGTACATTGAATCCAGTCAACAACATGATGTCAGTGTGGCACTGGGATACTGTGACTTAGGCTTTTCAGTTTGTTCTTACTTTTATTCATATTTTCCCCTCATCATATTCGCATAGCTTTATCTTCACAGAGCATGGAACTTTTTGAATTTTTGAAATCCATCAATAAACCAAAAAGCAGAGCTGGTAAAGTACTTTTAAAAAGGTACTTAAGTACAAATTTAAGTACAATCTAAAATATGTACTTTAGTACAGTAAAAGTACTTTCCTGTAAAATGTACTTGAGTACAAGTACTTTTTAAAAAAGTACTTATGAGTACTTTCTGCTAATATGCTAAAACACTTCAGTGCCAATGCAAAACATCATACTGAATAACATAAATCTAGTATATTTGAAAAATTTGGCCATTTATTACTAATAATGTAAACAGTATACAAAGCATTTGAATATATATGCACTGAACGTACGTGGAAATGGTGTGTGAAATTGAAATAAAACAACAACCAGCAAACAGACGCAACTAGTGAGAAAGTGATATTATGAATAGAACTTGTTTGAGCAAGACAATATGATCAAATGTAAGTCAGTCCTAGAGGTCAGAAAGTAGGAAAAGTATCCAAATTGGACAATGTAGAGACAAAGTTGCTCCTAAGGAAATATAAAATTGATGAAAATGGCCAGCAAAAAAAAAGCGCATTGAATTCTTCATTAAAAAATCCTCAAGGAATCAAGGTAGCCTTAAGCACAAACCACAAAAAAAAAAAAAAAAGGAAAAAAAGAAATTTAGGTAGCGTAAAAAATTGTTAGATTGA